AAATCTTGCACTAGCATCTCCATCTCCCCACCTCTATTACATAGAAATGTTGCAGTTGCAAAAATTACCATTTCCCTCAGTTTTGATTAACCTGGGATGAGAGAATTTTCTTCGTGGGTGTGATGCATTTCTTCCTATGTCTAGCATTCTCTTTTGATGCAGTTTGAAAATCTGTTCTTTATAGGATCACCCAGATCCCATACATTTCAGGTCCTTCATAGCTGCACCTTGTATTGTTCACTTTAACTTGGGTTTCCACAAAAAGTATTTCTGTCCTTTCCGTATATATCACACTTGGACTTCAAGTTTTGCTTTTGAGAAACAGGACAACATTTGAATATAGAACTAAGATCAATGTAGTCAGTGGGTTAGGGTGCCCACTGACTAGGGTGGGGAGTGGGTTTCCATCCCATGAGCTTTTCATAGTTATTGCCATAGCAAAACATATATTGGAAGGGAATTGTGCTGGGCAGACCTTTTCCTGCTGAAGACAAAGGACAAGATAATGCTTCCTATTCCACATGTAGAAACTGACTGGACTGGCAGTCGAGTCTTACTTCAATATTGGCAAAGGAACAGCACACCAGAGGGAATCAGGCTTGCATCAGGGACACGACACATTGTGGGGCTCACAAAGCTCCGTCCTCCAACACCTTTCCACTATGGACTGCTTCTCACTATATCTTCTGCCTGAAGCAGTCACCCAATTTAGCATCCCAGTAGAACTGGCCCCATGATGTGCAACACTAGGAAATTTGATCCATTTGAGCTTGATGGCTTCTCAACACGTTGCCTATCCAGTGATGAAAAACAATCCAAGGTGGGAGCAGAGGGAGCTCAGCTTCTGTGAAATTGCAAATTTGGAGTCAGAAACTGGTTACCTCTAAGTGTGAGTTGTATGTGTCATGGCTGACTGTTAGACTGAAGTTGTTTTTGTAAGTTGTTGTAGCATTTAACATGGGAAGTACTAAAGTTAGCTTGAATTTTCAAACAGTTCATTTCAGATTTGTATAAAATTTCTCCAAAAATGGGGGGGGGGGGTCCAAATTGTGCAAATTTACCAGTCGTACTCTCTTTTTGTGTATGTGCAATAATTTGCACAAATGATGCGCAAACCATGGGCTGTTTTAAAAATGGAAGGATGTGTGCTGGCATAACTGGCATCAGTGCCAGTGCAGGGTTGATGGAAGAGTATCCATGGAGCCAAGCTGAGAAAAGCCTTCAGTTCTTCACCCCTCCAATGGATCCCTCAGATCCTTACTGTCCCTGAGTTTGTGGTTACTGTATGCTGCTTTTGCCCCCTTGTGTCGCTTTACAAAAATGCCTATTTCCTTTGTGCCAGTATTCTTATGGTGTATTATATTACTTTTACTTTAATATTTCACAAATGTGAAATAGATATATTAGGTTATGAGTCAATGAAGTACTTTTAATACAGTTGTTAATGTTGCTTGCTTGGGATGACTTGATGGATCTATCTAGAGTGTAGGTTAATAGCAAATCTTTGCTTTTCTTATTCTTGGCTTAGTTTTCTTTTTGTGCATAGTATTGTGTTGCCTATTGTATTATCTTCCCATTTTTGAGCCTTCAGCTACTGGCCAATGTAACTTCAGCAACTTAAATGATAAAGTGATTAAGTAGAAATACTTTAAATAAATAAATAAAAATAAGTGGGTGCTTTCCATGTAGTGGCTGAGTGGGTTATTGTCTTGCTGGCAAATCCAAGTGCGCAAGAAGGAAAACTTGATTTATAGAGGGTTTTTGTCTCGAGCAGTTCCTCAAGAGTGTCAGGTCTGCAGAATCATTAAGGGAAATAACCCATAGTGGTTCTTTGTGCCTGCTGCCTAATTAGCATTCGTGGAAAAACAGGGTCATTCCTCCACCCCTGCTTTTAAAAATACAAAAAACCTTATTTTTTTCCCCTCCCTTCCCCATCTCTTTTTGCTTAAGTGCTATGTCTTTTATATGGTCACCTGCAAACAGGCATCATCTCATTTAACTAGCTGTACATAAGCTGCTACAGGAGTGTTTCGCTGAGGAGGATAAAAATACAATTTTTAACAATGAATTTTAAATACAATTTGTACTGTTACAGTACTTGAAATTATTTTCAACAGTGTATTTAAATGGACTTTTAAAATATTTATCTGTGAATCATTTGCAAACTTTACTATATTAGGTAGTATCTGAGTATTAATAATAAACTTAAAAATTGACAGATTACTGCGTGAAAAACACTCAGCTTTGGCTACATTTTATATGGAGTGTTGCCCTCCAAATTGTACATCTTCCCACCAAGGAATAGAAACACAGAAACAGAGCGAGTCAGAAGGGACCTCCCGGGCCATCTAGTCTGACCCCCGGCTCTGCTCACGACATTCCCACCATGTGCTTGTCCAGCCTATCCTTGAACACCCGCACCGATGGGGCCTCAACAACCTCTCATGGAAGCCCATTTCACACCTTCGGGGTCCTTACTGTCAGGAAGTGCTTCCTGGCATCTAAATGGAACCTTGGTTCTCTGAACTTTGCTCTTTTGGAGCGCGTCCTGCCTTCCTCTGCAGGGGAGAACGGGTCCCTACCCATCTCCGTGTGACATCCCCTCACATACCTGTATGTCTCCAACATATCCCCTCCGAGTCTCCTCTTCTCCAGGCTGAAGAGACCCAGTTCCCTCAGTCTCGCCTCATACAGCATCCCCTGCAAACCAGCCACCAATCTTGTGGCCCTACACTGCACTGACTCTAACCTGGCTATATCCTTTCTTGAGGGGCCCAAAACTGAGCACAATACTCCAGTTGTGGGCGCACCAGAGTCGTATAAAGTCATAGTAACATCCTTCTCCGTCTAGAAGGCACACTTCTGGCTAGGCAACTATAGGGCTTCCTCCTCCTCCTCCTCCTCCTCCTCCTCCTCCACCACCACCACCACCACCACCATCTAGCAATTTAGAAGCCATCTGCAGTTCTAACAGAGTCAAGAAGGCTATCTTGTTCTTGAGAATTCTTTCTCAACAAAGTAACCAGAGTTCACTGATCAATATTTTGCAAATTCAACAAAAGCTGATTTCTGTGTTTCTTGTATTGCAGAACCTATACAAAACCAAGAGCAGTTGGTTTTTGACAGAGAGCTGGTAATTGATTTCTGGGTGGAAATGGAAAATTGAAGCCTAAAATTTTATAGTTGTTTTAAGGTGGAATTGGTGCCAAATATCTTGGGAAGCTTTTTGGCTTATTAGAGAATGTGTGTTTGGCTTATTAGAGAATGTGTGTTTGGGCCATTCAAGTATAGTTACTGCAAAGAGTTTTGACTGGTAAAGTAGTTGTACATTGGCTAAGGTCTTATTTTGCAGAATCATCAAAATGTTTGTATGGCAGACATTGAAGTATAGTTTAACTTTCCCTAGAAGGAAGGGCTTGTTAAGATACATGTCATGCATAGTTTGACTAAAGCATATTTAAACAGCAGCTGCTTTAGACAAGTTTGTTTAGTTTGTATACCACTTTGACATTTTAGTAGATAAGGTGGTTTAGAAATGTTGTTACATGCTTATTATTTTGTTAAATCCATTAGTTAGAACTGAAACCAGCATTGTAGAATCCAGTCTGTAAACTCCATCTTTTCTAGCACTGAGGCTTACTAATTAAAATAATCTTACTTCATTCCAAGATGCTGCTAATTTCTTGTTAGGAATCATTTATTCAAAATATCCATCAGTACCAGGACTTCCTTTAGTTTTGTAAAATTGTGCCATTAAACAATCAGAGCTTTGTGTTACAATGGTTGAATACGCATTTTTTAACTGTACTGTAAACTCAGCCCTTATCCGAGTGATAGTTGAAATGTCTAAGCTAGTTATGTGCCAAAATATACTCTTACCCTTTTTATCATTCTCATTCAATTTGACAGAAAAGAAAGTTTTTGCAAAGAAATCCACTGATGAAGAAAACGTTGGAGAGACTATATGGGGTGAGTTTGGGTTTTTTGTACTTACCTTGCTTAGCAGGAGGCTGAGGATTCTGCATGAGTGTATCATTCTTCATTGTACAATCCTCTCTCCAGCTCCCACAGCCTCCTGAGCTGCCCACAATTCTGCACATAGGGTTTTTTCAAACCAGGAAGCACAGGCAGCCTGAGAGGCTGCAAAGCAATGGAAAGCCATGTAACAGAAAAGAAACAAACCACACAAAGCATCCTCAGCTACCTTAGAGTTATTAGGTAACACCACTAGAATAAATTATAAAAACACCCTGGGAAATGGAAAGAGAAAAACCTCTTTCACGGGGAAGAAAACTCCAGGGGCATTAAAGGACAGCCTCCCAGGCACAGCACTGGTTTTGCTTCTTCCCTGGAGCTGGACACAACACCGACCCCCTCACATCTTACATAAAGAGGCTGTGCTACAACTTCAGCCTATGATGAGCGCTACCCCTGAGAAACTGTTGAGAATTTCTCTTTGCCCTGGAAAAAAATGGTGAAATGCCCCCTCTCCCATTTCTCTACACAGAAGCCATTCGTGCACAGCTCTAGCTTAAATCTATAAGGCTCTCACCCCATGTGGCTGCGCATACTCCTCCAAAGGATTTTGTGCCTTCACTGGAAGGTGGGAAGTGCATTAAGACTAGGCCAAAACATTTTAAAACAGTTGGGTTTACTTATATAAATATTTTTCTGTGCCTCACAAGGAAAGTGAGGCATCCCAACACTGCTCAGAGGACAGTAGTGCCCCGCTCCTTTCCTCCCTGTCCCCTGGAATGCTCTAATTGCAGGGCAGCTATGAAGACAGGAGAGACCATGCCAGCCGTGAGGATGAGGGGGGCCCTCTAGGATGCAAACCCCATCCCCAAGTTCGGAAGACCCTGTGGAGGTCAGGACTAGGATTCTGACATCTCCTGTGATCACCTACACAATGTCAGAAGTCTACAGGATTATGCCCTTAATTGATTTATTGTGCTTAATTGGGGTTTATCAGATCCCTATTTTTCAAAACAATCAAATAATTCCTTTATTATATGTTTATTTAGATATGAAGGTTGTTCGTTTTTATTCTTGCAATTTGTACATTTTATTTGAATCAAATATAAGAGATTTTGCTAACATTCATCCTGACTTGTTTAAACTTGGCATAAAAAATGAAACATGTAAGGGAAATAGTTGTTTTCAGCCTCCAGCACTTAGATGTGCTAACATGTAACAGTTTTATTTCATTTTGATGTGTATGTACATTTGAATTGTAATGCTGGTATCGTTATTTAAAATTCTGGCCATGATGGAGTTAGAACAACTGGATTCTTTTTCCTAATTTTATATATACCAAAAAACAGTTCCAGCGTGTTTTTAAAAAATCATAGCAAGCAATGAATGCAAAGGAAGATGAATGGACTGCCTACCCTGTCAAATTGTTGGTTACTTAAAATACAAATTTTAGTAAATATGGATTGGCAACTTGTCCTCCAGATGTTTTGACTTATGACTCAAATCATTCCTATTAGCTATGTTGGCTGGAACTGATAGGCAGCTGTAAGCCACAAGTTGACAATCTATACCATAATGACCTGTTCCATTTATGTACAAAAATTATACTCTAGAAGTTTGAACTTTCCAGCTTCCATTCCCTATGTCTAGAGTTCTTTCCCAATTTCAGTTCCCAAAACAGAATAGTACTATTATAAACCAGTAGTAATAGTAGTGTATGAAAGATTAGTGTTAAAGTACATATCTAATCCTGTAGGCTTTTGTCTGCCAAATCCTGACTAGGTATTACTTTTAGTTAGTACAGCAAGTAGCTGACTTTTTATAATAAAGTTAATGCCAAAATTAAATAATGCAACTTCATTTTTCTATATTGGATTAGACTAAAAGGGAAAAATTAGGGGGGAATTGTGATTTTTGCTGAAAGTTTGATGGCAAATTGCTGCTTTCTCCCCACTGCCTCAAGTAAGCACTAGTTACGCCAACGGCTTATGCTAGGGCAACATCACCTAGCACTAAGCTCAGAGGAACACTGGATACTACCAACTATTCCAAACTCATCATGACATAGGGAATGATGGAAAGTATCCAGTTTACCTTTGTTCTCAAGGGATCAACATCATAAACAGACTAGATGATGGAACAAATTAAAACAAAATACATTAAGTTTTGACATATACTGAAGTAATATAATAATAATTGCTGGGAAATCTTCTATTCATTTATGCAGATCTGGAAAGCACCCTGAGTGTTTTCTTAGTAAACGATAGTGATGCTTGCTGGGTTTGGTACAATTGAGTGCCTTAAAATAAGAAACGTTCAAGTGAATGTTTCAAAACTCTTATATTATCCTTGAGACAATTCAGTGTATGCCCACTGCTAAGATACAATAGCCTGCTCCCATTTAAAATAAAACACACACACACAGTTAAAAAGGCCTTAAGATAGTAAAAGAAGAATATACTTTAAAAAATTAAACACTCCAAACTCCTGACATCAATTTGCAATGTTTTGGTTTAGGGAAAACCTATTCCAAATTATTAAACATGGACTTAACAGTCCAGAACAATCTTTAGGAGAGCTTTGTATTTATCTTTGAAAAGTGAAAACAAGAATTAAGCTTCCATTTTAAACAAAGGTACTGCAGCAAAATGCCTGTCAAGAGTGGCCTTTGAACTACCACTCAAATGTAATTTTCTGTTCCCAATTCAATCTTACCAAAAAAGTCCAGTTAGCAATAGCAGATTAAAAGAAAAATGTAACAGTCGCGCAACAGAGCTACATCATTTAGTAACAACAAATTAAACCATGGATAGCAATATTTGTTGAAGGTGAAAAAAATACAACTGGAGGAAAAATCACTGTACATTACAACTTGGAGGCTGTTAAAGTGACAAATCCAGAGACTGTACAGTGCAAGACATGCTTTTCCAGTTACAACTTCAAAAGAGGAGTGCAAAAGAAATTAAAGCTTTTTTTGTCTGAAGTCAATTTACTTATTAGGATAAAGTAAGCTAGAACACAGCATTACAGAGAGATTTTTCCACATAACAGTAAGGTCTTTTTCTCAACACAAACTTTTAAAACTTGAACCATTGCCTTAGCAAGCTGGGGTACTGTAAGAACATAGACCTTTATGTCCAACACTTAATCATCTTTTATCCTTTGAACTGGCATCAGTAGTGTATCATCAGAAACCTACAGGCAAAAGGAACCAACCTCTGAAGTTCTGCTTTAGCTAAGAGTACCTGTGCTATCTACACGCAGCAGAAGCAGCAATACACCTTGGCTTATATACTCTCCTGAAAAAGTGAGACAAAGCAGCCTCACAAGTAAAGAAACAGTAGTGCTGAAAGCATATGCAGCGTCATGGCTGAGGAACCAAGAAACTGCTCTACAAAAAGGTGGGAGAGGCCAACGATTTAACAGCAACTCCAGGCAAATGCTTTACCAAGCTGACTAAGCAATGCATGCATCTCTCCATGCAAGATAAAAATATGGCTCCAGATGCTTAGAAGTAGGGTATGCATTTGTGAAGATTGGACTGAAGTCCCTTGCTTGTTAAATTTACAAAAATATATATAGCCAATACTGTAAGCTTAAGAAGTCATCATTACTTGTTATGCAGACTCTCACATGTATAAACTACTTTTCAGACATTCTAGAGAAGGTCACTTGCAACAAAAAAGTCAACGTTTTTCAGAATGCAAGATTTTTAAAAAGTGGGTCTTTCAAGTGAACAGGACATCTGCTGTTTATCCAATTTTAATTTTCTAGTCAATTAAGTCTGGATTTATTTAAGATGCTCATCCGTGGGAACAGATGCATAAACATAAGTTTCACTTTAATAGTTATCTGCACAGAAAATGGAAATTAACTGTTCAGAACATGATAGAGTAGGTTTGGTTAGTACAAATCTATGGCAAATTAGAATGTTCCTGTGCAGTAAGCCCACTCAAACAGAAGTAGGGTACAGTTGGGGCTGGGTAGGGAAGTAATGTCTTAGCAATCAACGGGAGAGTTGTTCAAGTCTATCGTGTTCTGAAGAACAAGCAGCCGAAATGACACCATGCTGTGAATCGCAGCATCCAGACAACCTGCTTGGGCTACTAAAGCAGTGCGTTCTCCTGGAGGCATCATTATCTCAAAGTTATTTATTATTTCGAAGGCGTTTCGACTTTCTAAGCGAACCTATTGATTCAGTGGCTTTCTTCCGTTTTCTAGGAGCCTCCTCACTTGGTGTTGATCCAGAGGAATTTCCTACTGCACTTTCCATAACTTCTCGCAGTTTGCGTTCGAGCTCAGCCAGTCGGGCGTTCTGCTCACCTATGATCTGGGTTTGCTCAAGCAGTTTCTGATCTTGGTCTTGAAGTTGCTTCTGCTGCTCTTGCACTTTGGTGCGAAGCTCTGAAATTTCACGCCTCAGCACAGTCACACCCGCACCATTGGTTTTAATTTGCTGCTGGAGTTTGGTGACCTCCTGCCTTGATGGATTTTGTTTGGAGAAGAGCTGCATTGTAGTTAAGGCTGCTGAAGGACCTGGAACTGGAGGGAAAGAGATTTAAGTTCTTCCTCCTTAATTTCAGATTCACCTATTTTTGCCTTCAACCCTCCCCATCACAGAAATGCATCCCTGACCTCAGTCCTTCTTCAAAAGCAAAGCTTTTATAAAATGTAGTGATAGCCACCAATTTGGATGCCATTAAGAGGACAGGACAAATTCAGGGAGAAGAAGACTATCAATGGCTTCTCGTCCTAATGGTTATATGCTGCTTCCCATATCAGAGGCAGAATGCCTCTGAAGAGAAATAGTGGGTGCTGTTGTACTCAGGTCCTGCAGGCAGCTTCTGGGTAAACAGAATGATGGACTAGATGAAACCTTAGTCTGATCCAACATGGCTCTTCTTACTTTGTTATGATTTTTGCCCTTGGTCTGAACAGGGCTGCATCCCTGCTATTTAATCTATGACCAAGGCTTGAGAAGTTTTTCTGAGGGTTCTTTTAAAATGCTAACATTCCTACTTAAACGTAAAGAGGAAAATCCCAAGTAGAGGAAGTACTACCCTAGCCTGCAGTCAGTAGAATAGGTTGCCATTGAAGCCTGAATCCTTTTTGACTCTTTAGATGTCATTCCACTGTCTCATTCCAGGCTGGGTATGCTGGAGTGCACCAGTGGTGTTTTGTGAGGAGCTTCTGTGTGGCTGGGTAACAGTCAAATGGGCTAAGACTAATCCAATAGTTCTTTCTCTTGGAAATCACAGCCCCTCTTTCCTGGTGAAGTGTTGATTCTTCACCTACATGATGACATCTCACCAGATATCTTTTGCTATTGGGCAGCATATAAATTAGATAAATAAAAAATAAAACAAATAAATATGGCTCCATGTTTTAAATCTTACAGTCTGAGGATGGCCTGCTGGTAGCACAGGTCATGATGCCTGTGGACATCCACAGCGAGTATCTTTGGGTCTTCAAAAGTGGTAGTTTACACTCTCCGACTGGCCAGCTGAATTAGAACAGCTTGTTATGATGGAGCAAGTATATTCTAATTACAGGGTTAATTTACTATAACCATTTCTATTCTAATTATTGATGTATTATTACAGCAGTTTGATATTCTCTATTATTTGGCTTATTATTTTTCATACTCAATTGCCACTATAGATTAAAAATTCTCATTTTGCGTATACTGTATTCTACCTATATTACACAGTCATTTGTCATGCTCTGTTTCTGATCTCTCTGTTACCTAAAACTTCAATTCCAGACCCAAAGTGGGTAAGAGTTAAATGTGGTAATCCAAATATTATTCTTGGAGGAACCAGGGTTTGGTAGGCTATTAATTTGCAGAACATTTTAATTGCTGACTGTTTTAGGTTTAATTTTCTTTAAAATTCTGACTGGCATTGTAACTAGTAAATTTGGTATTTTAATTGTGATCTTTTAATATTTATCCAATCTGTTATGTTAATGCGTGCTGCTACCTGGTGCCCCTGCTGTGATGGGGATGTTGTATTGTTTTACTGTTTATTGGTATTGATGCTTTATTTATATAGTTTTTATGCTTTGCTATGGTTTTATTATGTAAACTGTCCAGAAAGCCATGAGGCTATTGTGACAGTATACAAAAGTGTTAAAAAAATACACCAATATGGAATTTCATTCATTGGTATAAAGGACATTACTAAGCAAGATGCCTACACAATGCAGGTTATTTTTTCTGACACCACAGAATTGGATTCAAATGATTTCTTCCATTTCCAAAAGGCCTTCAAACTAACAGAGGTTCACACAAACAAAAGGGGGACTTGATTTCCACTAATCCTCTCTACAGCCCCCTCCTGTGGTATTCCAGGGGGTTTTCCCACCTTTCTGAGCAGATTTGGAAAGCACAACAAAAGGCAGAATTGGTAAATACTGTTCCTTGTTACCTAAGAGAATTGAAAGCACTCTTTCTATGAGCAGAATTCTGCTCACAGGATCTCTAGGACCAACCAACAGTTTCAATTTTAAAACATGTTCTGCTTACTGCAGTCTTAAATATTCAACAGAGACTTTTAATCCTTTGTTGTTGTGGAACCATTGATTTCCTGCATAAGGTATAATACCTCAAAAATCTGAAAAGGGTACCTGGAGCTGCTGCAATAAGACGTCCTGATACATCTGAGCCTGGCAATTTCCTTTTAAGAATTGGAACAATCTTCTCATCAAAATATTCCATTGCCATAGATGAAATGTCCCTTAATTCCTGTAGGACTTCATGGGCTCTCTGAGGAGCTTTAGTAGAGTTTACATACCTTAGCACACGATAAATTTCATCAATTACCTAAAACAAATGGGAAAAATTGAACTGTGGCAACTGGCTAGGCTAATGATTCCTATATGTTTCTACTGGGACATGGCTATTTACAGTGTCTTTTAATTTTTTTCAAATCTAATTTAAAGATACTTAAAATGACCCAGAAAACACTTTAGGGGTCAATTACATTTTGTCTGATGTACAGAAACAACACATCTGAGCAATGGGAAATTAGCCAATTTTAATCAACATTTTATTAGGATTTTTAGCTAATATGTTGGCATATCATATGATCAAAGCCCTAGCAACCAAGTTAAGTCAAACTGTTATAACAAAGAAGAGCGGTCTCACACAAGAATGTTTTGATAAGAGACACGGCTACATTATGCCCTTCTATCAATAAGCTCCTCAAAAAAATATTTAGAACTTACGGAAGCTATTTTTTCTATTCCATTATAATATAATACAGCACTTTTTGGAATTTACCTTCCCAGGAATAAAGCAGCAGAGGTTAGAATCCACATACTTCATAAATGTCATATTTAGCAGCGACAACCTTGTTTCTACAGCAGCAAGAATGTCTGCATGGCGAGCTAGTGAGTGATTTCTCCTTTCTGATTCCCGTCTGAAACAAAAAACAAATGAGCAACGGAAGCTCTTAAGTAAAACTGGGGAACTAAATAATTAGCAGGAAAAGCTATGCATCATAGGAAAAGGAAATACTGTTGTCTGGACCCTTGCAGAACAGTCAGATTCTGCCAACAAGCAACTTTGATCCCAAAAATGATGTGTGCTACAGGAAGCAAAACAAAACAACCAATTCTATTGAATATTCTAGTCAAAAACAGCAACTTAATTTCTATCCGCTTCTGTTTGGACAAAGCAATCATCCTATTATTTTTCAAGTAATTTTCCAACATGAACTTGCTTGGTGGGAACATCACTCATAGGCATTCTTCACCTACAGCTCACATCCAAGTAGCCAAAATTCCTTGGTCCCTGTGAGCTTCCAGTCAGAGCTCCAACTGTGGTTTGCAGCAAGACCCACAAAAGGCCGTAGCACTTTGTTCCTAAGCATTTGCCTCTTCCTGAGCTGAGCTTTTTAAGAGGGCAGAAGAACAAGTATGTCCTTAAATGTAGTTTGAGAAACAGCAACTCATTTACTCAACTATCTTTACTCTTATCAGCTGTTTCCCCATTTCCCAATCCCAGATACATACACTTTTTGCCCTCTGAATCGAACATAATGCTTCCTGGCATTACATTCTGATGTTTGCTTCCAGAAGGAGAATTGAATTCTTTAAAGCAATTTAAACTTTTCCACCAAAACAAGAAATTGGCTTGTTTAGCCTCTCAATATGGAACTGCTTTCATTTCAAAGTCTGCCAACTGCTGTCCAAGGTTAGCTTGCTTTTATAACTACTCTTGCATTACCTGAGCAGAGTACTCACAGCAGTTTCATATGTCATGATACTGCTGTAAGAATTTGGACACCAGGAGCATTGCTTAAAGTAGGATTGCAAAACTGGTCAAATTCAGAACCCAAAGATAAAAATGAAAAGATAATTCATTTGAACAGGAATTTTTGCCTTTGCCATCAATTGCTTCTTATATGCCCCAAGAGTTATTGATGTCTATTCTATCAGATGTCTGATTAATTAATTTTTAATTGATTAAACACATTCTGGTCAAGTCAAAAATCCCTTATTATAAATAAAACTGCATATAAAAGCCACATTTAGACTCAAAACAAGACATAGTTTATTGTTGCAAGAAAGCACCAAAGCCAACCTTGGATTTTCAGGCTCCTCCTTTATCTACCTTCATTGCACTTTCAACAAATTGCAGTTTCCCACATCATTGAAATATGGAAAGCTGTGGTTTATGCAAACCACTATCCAGTTAATAAATCAAGGTATTCAACCAAAATGTACACTGTGATAAAAAATGAAAAATGGTATGTTACAAATCACAAATGAAAGCTTCACATTTCTTCTGTATGAAGGAGTGAAGAATGAAGATATAAGTCCAGGGTTTGTTAGCCAAAAATGCACAATTCATGACACCATCTTAGAAGAGGCATTGCCTTTAGTGTGGAAGATGGAACAATCTGGTTCACATGATCACTGCAGCCCACCATGGCTCATTTAAGTCACAGTGAGTTGTGGCACCCACAGATGCCAAGTTCCCAACATGAACCATTGAGAATGGCTTTTTAGGTTTTTACAAACCTCCTCCCAAGAGGCCATGAGTTTAGGGTTCTTAAGGTGGTTAACAAACTACCTCCCAACAGGCCCTAACAAACCATCCTCACCATGTTCAAATGCCACAAGAAGCCACATCTGGTGACAGTAATTCATGTTCTGCAAACTGATCTAATGTCTCTTCTGAGATGAAACCTGCACATTGTTTTAAACTAACCTTTTCTTCCTACGAAAAGAACGCTATTATATGCAAATTTATGCAAATCACTCAACTAAAAATGATCCACTAAGTTTTAACTGGTGATAGCCCTTTGAGACAGCCAGATTATTTTCAGCTGTCCCCCAGAGAAAACACTGGGTTGGGGAATGCTTGGAGTTATAGGATTTTTTTTCTATCAAACCATGTGTAGGACTGCTCCTGAAGTGCACCTGACAAAGCAACAAAGTGGAACATAATCTGGAAATCTCATCATCTCAGGCTCAACTCATTACCCCAAATCAGTGCCTATGTGCAGTTTATAATAGTGCATTTTGGTTTTCTTTGGTTTGGCTCCAGCGTGTGCATTTAAACATCCTTTTCAGGTAACATTGTAATACATTGTGCTGTTATTTTCTAATACAAATAGCACTTGTATCACTGACTTATTACAGGTTCCACTGACTTGGCTAAATCACAGCATTGACTGAATCACAGCTTTAGCCAAAAAAGCAATCCTTGTGTGGGGTTAGATTTTCTGTAACTGAATTAAAACCCCTCTCTTTCCCAACCTCTCTCCCCACCACTCTTGTCCCTGCTCTCACCAGGGTGTCTGGAGGGGGTCACTGCAGAGGATGATGGTTTATGGGACTGCTGGAGGGGGCCAGGGAGGCTCCTTGGCAGCAATGGCAATGATAATGGTGAACCAGGCATGGTATGGATGGCCTTGGGCACTGGCTGGCTTAAAAGGCCTCACAGGGCCTAATCTATCATCTCCTAATATCCCCCTGCCACCCCCTTTTTCCTCACTGCCCCTCTGGATCTTTCCACTGTCCCAAGGAGCGGTACCACCAACTTTGGGAATCACTGATTTAGGAGAAAGCCCCACAACTAAAGGTCACAGAACTGACTGTAAAGGTGGCAGGACCTGCCACAGAAAGGCTTCATTTGAGGATCTAAAACAGTAAGGGTGGGTAAGAAGGGATGCATTCCTTGAAATCCAAATCTCAAAAATCTGCAGTCCTAAAAAACTTATATGGAAAAATGGCTTCATATCAACTTCAAGCTATAGATTCCACAGGAGATGGTACTCCACAAGAAGTGTTAATTTTCTCTCTTAAATGCCACAAACATGAATATCAGCCCTTAGGTACTTGTGGCAGGATATAACATGCTGGGTATGCTATCCTCTACATTCATTGGGTGGGGGGGCCCTTCAGCACACATACCTGGAAATTCAACAGCAGCCTCCTGAACTCTCTGAAGGTCAAGGCATTTTGGAGCAGCATCTCCAGCATGAATTGCAAGGGACTGCCACTTGAAAGAAAGTTAGTGAACACCTGAACAGATGCTACATTAGGTCCCAACCTTAGATTTGATTTTAAAAATTTGTGAAATAATGCACAGAGTTTCAGCATGATTGCTCATTTATGGTAGCTTTTTTAGATGGTTAGAGTGGAACTGTGTTCAAATGTACTGCCTTTTCAGAGACAAAACTGTCTACTGTCTGAAATACACATGTGCTTTGCACTTGGAAAGGATAGATCCACTTGTATTATGAGGAAGGGGCTAGGACTCAGGCCCATTTTTTGATCTTTGCTTTCTGGGCAGAACCCATAATCTTGTACATTTTGGTGTTGAAAAGACCATCACCATCAAAGGGCAAATCCTCTGTGAAGGAACAAACTTTCTGCAATAAAACTGTAGACCTGAGACAAGAGTGATGCTTCAGTGTGTATGCTCTCACCATCACTTTAACATCGCAATGGGCCTGATGTCTTTCCACACTGATCTGCTGGCTGGAAAGACTGGTAACTTTTATCTGGAAAATTCTGGTCAGTTTTAAATGACCATAGAAAAACCCTACCTTCCCTCATAGAATTGTTATTTCTACATTGCAGTCTGGTAGTTTATTATTTATTTATTTAAAGCATTTCTATGCCGCCCCCATCGCAAAAAAGCCTCGGGGCAGCTCACAACTCAAAGATCTAAGGCAGCTGAAGAGTATACCTACCATCCCACCAGACTGAATCTTCAAGCCTTTGTTGTCTTTACATGATGAACGTACTCTGGGAGATCTGCTAATGATGATCAAATTTGGGGAGGGGGGATTTTGAGAAACAGAAACACTGCCCATTTCCTGAATCTAGTATATGTTCTCCAGCCACTTTGAGGTAGCAGTCTTGGATGACAGAGCCTTCCATGACTGCTGCACTGCCTGTTGCAAGGTTGGGAGAAACAGCATCACAAGCAAGTTAACACCTCTGTAAAGAGGGCTCCAAACACTGGACTTTTCACCTGCTGGATGGGCTGTTGACTCTCCCAGCCTAAAAAGTGTGCCTGTCATGGTTGGTTTTCTTCCTCTCCTTCTATACAGGCCAGGTCAATGGATTTATCCATATAACCTTATTATGTTAATACCTAACGGTCAGTATTCAAGACCAATGAAGAGTATTGCAAATGTCAATAACAAAATAGCAGCTTAACCATAAGAAGGTAATTCCAAGCTGGGATGATGAAATGACATTTTCAAGGTGGGTCCTCCTGCTTAAGGACCAAACACTTGGAAAGTCTGACGTTTCTCAGCTGGCCTACTCTCTTTACCTAATGCTGCACCCCAGGTCTGCTTGCTCTGCTTCCCTCCTCATTAGCATGTTCATGAAGCTTTTCCATAATATTTGAAACTGATCAAGTCTCAACAAGCACATGGCTTATCTACGAGTTCCCTGGCAATTCAGGGATTTCAGCTGCCAATTCAAACTCCACCTGCTCTTCTGACTCAGAATCTGTTCCCACACTCCTTAAAGGCTCTTTCATAGGAAGAATGGGCTCAATTCATACACAGGATTTAATTTGAAAAATGAGCAAGATCCTTCTGATGACAAGGCTAGATCACAGGTCCCTACAGCACTGCTGAGGAAAGAAAGTGATGGAGCAGCTGATGAGCAGGGTAGGCTCAGAAGGGTAATCCTTCTCTGTGCTACCAGCTATGCAGCCAGGCAATGCCTCAAAGCCAATGTCCTCAGCAATGGTGGAAGAAGTATGAAAGCGGAATAATGGAAAGGTTGTCTGGCTCAGCTGCTGTCTGGGTTGCGACAACAAAGGATGGTGGTAGCACTGGAGGAGTGGGCAGAAAAATCCTTCTCATGTGGGTGCACAAGAGTCACTGACAGCTCCATGCAATAGTACCTAGGTGAATCCATTCTCAGACAAGAAGACCTGTGATACCTATCGTGCTCACATCTGTACCACTAGATGCTGCAGTAGTCATAATTCCTTGGTAGCAGATTGTCAGATTAGTTGTCCCATTCTGTTATGAGTGATCAGGACTGAGCCCAATGGACCAAAGGGCAGTATTCAATATCTCAACTCTGTTTCGAAGACTGGGAAGCCATCAAGTTGCACAGAGAGATACAGGTGGAGGATTTATTTGTGGTTCTTGAGCTGATGAAATCCTCCTTATCTCCCCTTCCAACTCCAGTGCAAGTGTGACAGGTTCTGGGCTTGGTACCAAAGCATTAATTAGTGGTACTGGAGACTTGTGACAAGGTACCTGCTTTGAAGTGGCTGGAAAAATACGTCTTAGTGATTGTTCTTTCTTTTTTTTCCCTTTTGGCCATCTGATAATCTGAAAACTCATTAAGGATATACATATCAGAACAATGGGGGAAGGGTGCCCACCTAAATTCCTCTTATAGAAGGTTCTCAAAATTAGGATCCATGCAGTACAGATCCCGTATGTGTGATTCACAGAGACCATAAAGACGAATGATGGCTTAAAGATGTTTAAAACAGGTGTGGCTGCCATTCCCAATAGGCAGCCTAATCTTCCTAAGGTAAGTGAGCACTCAGTAGTTTTCCTTTCATCAAAGATTTTCCTGAATTTCACCCCAACCAATTCCTTGTGAACAGGAAAAGATGTTGCACAACTGTGTTCTGTTTTCTCTTCTGCTTTTCCTGATTCTTGTGACTTTTGGAAGGATTTAAATGTTTCAGAGACTATTTGCATAAGTTCACTCCAGTTAGACACAAAGCAGGAACCCAACCTGATTTGCTCACAAAATTATCATATTTGGTATATTAAAATGAAACACAGTTTATTCAGGCAATAATTAAACACTGACTACTTTAAAATGTTTTTAATTTTAATGATGAACAAATCATCTTGAGTCTTATCTTCCTAATGAAGTCATTTTAGATCTGTCAAGAGTACTAAAAAAAGAAGTACTATCCATTTTTCATCTTTCCTAAGATTCCTTACCCATGGAGAAAAGCAGTTCTTTTTTCCAAAGCTTCAAAAAGCCTGGTAATAAATATTTATATCCTGTCTTCTTCCTTTCAAGAAACTCAAGGAAGCTTACACAATTCTCCTCCTCCCCTCAATCTTATCCTCACAACCACAACCCTGCAGCTAAGTTGAGCTGAGCCTGTGACTGGCTCAAAGTAACCCACTCAGCTTCACGGCTGAGTGGGTCTGGAACCCAGATCTCCTAACTACTATACCACACTGACTCTCTGCATATCTAATTTACATGTCAACACATTTCTGATGGGGAGAAAGAGGGCTGAGGTGTGTACAACTGATGAAGGGAAAAGAAAAAAATGTTTTTTAGGTCCAGTTGTATTGATCTGGTGAGGTGGAAACTGATCAGATGCTGGAAGCAATAATGGAGTTTTGATGCAGTACAGTCTGAATGATGAGAGTTAAATTAAAATGGCTGTGAGGAGTGTGAGGGTCTGGATACCTGTAATACAGAAGATCAGTCTGGGGATATCACCCCATTGTGACACCTAGAGTACAATACTGCACCGCTGGAGAATTCACTGTGACAGTATCTTATACTGAAGGTATGTATTCATTTATTATATAAGCTAGTTTAATCCAGAGACATTTTGTAATTGTTTCAAACTCTGTAACCGAACCACAGATGTGCACCTATCTCATTACAGTACACTCATTGAAATCAGTAGGATGTAAAATTGATTTCAATGTGTTTACTCCAGGTAGAAGCATGTGTGGATCCAACCCAATATTTATAATACAGTGCAGGTCACAATTCCCTACACATTTATTACTGGAGCATTCCTTTATATCTTCTCTGAAGGTCGGGGAGAAAGTAATGAAATGGAAAACAGCAGCATAGGCTGAAGCAGAGGCCTGATCATCACAATATTCTAGCCCTGTAACGTCACACAGCAGCATCAAGGAAACTGCAGGAGACAGGGTAATGTATCCTCCATGCTGCATTATATTCAGAGGCTTCACAGCCCTAAATCCTTCTGTCACAAGTTGCGGATACTTTCTTTATCCTTTAAAGATTTGTTTCACAAGCCATTTTAAGAAATGGTGCTTGTATAATCTTCTGTACATACAAATGATCAGTCCAGTATTACTTTTGACCTTCAGCTGTGGAGAGCACATACCTTGGAAGCTGTGCTTTAACCTGTTTCTGGCACAAGTTATGGTATCTTTCCACTTTGAGAAATCCCTGATTCAGCATTCTCTGGCACACCAAGTCCATTCGCTTACAGACCTACATTGAAAATACAAAAGCAAAACATTTGAAGTAGTTAATAAGCTGAGAGCCCCCTTCATGATTAACCAGCTTATGTAAAGCATTCCAAGGTTACACAGAACCATTTGAAATGAAGTTGAGTAACAACTGATAGTGGAAACACAGCTCTTTGCCTTTTCCAAATAATGTGTTCCAAAGCTTCAGTTTTCATCTCATCACCTATAATTCTGGGAAAAAAAGGTTAGCTAAAATTAAAGTGCAACCTTGATAAGGCTTCCTGCTCAAATTTTCTTTGAGAGCCTTCAAAGAGGCTGACATTTTCAATATATCAAGCATACGTTCCTCTCCACAGAGAGAAAATTGGGGTTTTAAAACTACAAAGAAACTACAATTCATACACACTACAAAAATGTATAAAGCTTGAATGTATGTATGTATAAATGTGATAAAGCTTAAAATCCATTAAAAAACTTACAGTTCTATGGGTTGGGAAGAATTCGTTGGTTCATGTACTTCCTACTATATATATATATATATATATATATATATATATATATATATATATATTTTTGGTGAAGAGCAGGAGGTGGTTTCAAAAATCTGATAAGTTACAAGCAAATATATATTTAAGACCAAATGCCTATTTCTAGCAGGGAACTGCCAGGCAGTACTGTCTGTGAAGAGCTTCCAGCCAGGAACGTTCTCTTCCTGAGCCTATTTACCTTTGATCTTGGCACACTGGCAATGAAGATCTGCATCTCTCTGCAGAGAGATCCAAATCTTTATCACTGATGTGCCCTGATAAGGATAAAGACTGGGAGCTTTCTAGAGTTCAGTTTATCAGGTGAACTGTGCAGAAATCTTGGTCTTCATTTCAATTGGGGTACATTACTCGTAGTTAGGGAGGTTTCGACTTCCCTGTGCAGCATGCTACAATGGGAATAAAAACACCCTTCCCTTCGGCTTATCTATATGGATGAACTGAAGGGGACAAACAGGTGTCTCTGTGTGAAAATGTGGGATGAAGCACTCTGAAGATATGCTTTTGGAGCTTTGCATATCTTTTTCATCTTAACTACCATAAATAATTTGGTGTTGTCAAAAAAAAACCTGGTTACCTCTCTATTCACTCCAAATTCCAGATCATTTATTAACAAATTGAAAAGACCTGATCCCAATAAAGATTCCTAGGGAACCCATGGTTTACATCCCTACATTGGGAGAATTGACAATTTATCCTTACTGTTGTCTGCTCTTTAATTAGTTACTGATCCATAAGAGGCACTCTCCATTTACTCAGGTATGTTCATGAGTCTGGCAAGGGACTTCACTGAAAGCATTTTAAAAGCCCGGAAAAACAGGGACTACCAGATCCTGCCTGTCCATATGTTTGTTTATATTCTCAAAGATTTCTAAGATAAGTTTAAAGAGACATGGAACCACTGATCCAGGCTTCAAAATTATGTAGGCTAAATTACATTATGACTGTTTTTATAAAATATAACAGTAAGCTTGAAGCATTTATGTATATCCACAAGTCCTTGGAAAACTTATTTTTTAATCTGTTACTGGATTATGTCAGAGAAGTCTTCAAAACAGTTGCAAAAATAGGTTCTTGGGCAATGCTAAAAACTATTACCAGTTAAACAGTTATGCCATAATCCAAAAACCAGGCAACTCCTTCCATCCTGGGGGCATGGATTCCTCTGGTACCAACCACACCCATGCCAAACCATTTCTGAAACAGACAATTCAAGAGCAACTTGTAACAAGGCATGAAGTCCCATTGGTCATGCACAAGGTTCAACACAAAACAGTTTCTTGAATCCAGCTCCAAAGTGCAACTAGACAACAATTGAGAACCATATTGCCTTTTATAAAGAAATGTAAATATTGCAACATTTCAAGTTACATTTCTCTTTAATTCAGTAGACTGAGTTTCAGAAATATGTGGTTAAACCAGGTTCAGGTGGCACTGAATCTTTCTGGGGTGGGGGCACACTGAAGAGGAGATACAAACATAACGTAGCCTAAATCAATTAAATTACATCAGGGGATAGGGCTTGCAAAAGTGGCCTGGGAATGCAGAAGGGATGAGAACCTTTGGAGACTCCCATATATGGTTTAAACTAGCAATGGGCAAATACAGCAATGGGCAAATACAGCTCAGTTTGAAACCTGGCATGGAAACTACCTTACAAGGGATTTGAGTTATAGTCATTAAAAAAGTTATCTACAGCCTTTGTAATATTGCAAGCAGTGCTTGCCAACTCAGGCCTATCTGCTATGCAAGAGATTGGCTATTAAAACCAAGAATTTAGAAATTAGAAGACTATATATTCTTACAATTTTAAATGACACAAGCTTCAGTGCTCTTCCAGTTTATTGAAGATAACAACTGAATTGGAAGACTAAGGGAAAGCATGACTAACACTGGTTTATTTGCAAAAACTGAGATTTTACAAAGTCCAACTGCTTACATGGCATGGACATGAAATCGAGGTGCCTTAACTTGTCATTTCTATACTTCCTGCTGCATATGTCAGTGGTTTTTTGATTTCGCTAACAGCTTTTCTCCAGTTTCATTAATTATATGTTCATCCCAATTTTCAGATAAACATATTCCGAAGAAAGTTATGTTCTATCAAGAATTAAGATGCAGACTCTGCCCTTAATCTTACAGAGCATAAATGTAACATATGCTCAAAAAAGGAAGTGGAAGGAAAAGGCAACGGTCGGTGGGAGGGAGAAGACTATGCCATAAGAAAGGGCTATTTAGCTGTGGCAGGGTGATCTGTCTGGACTGATATGGTTGCTTGACTACAGGTGGAACAACTTCTGGTGGAAGAAATTGGACAGCATCCTTCCAGAGTCCCAGAGCAGAGTTCTTTCTGATACAAAAGGAAAAAGCAAATTCCCTGTAGCTGTTCTTTCTCAGGCCAGTGCTTCAGACTAGGATGATCCTCCCTTTGGAAACTGCAGATATTGCATAGGACTGCAGCCTAAAATGGTAACTCTTCTATAATTTTGTACTTTCATTCTCATAGCGCATTGGAGTAGGTAGTTTTTAGTTTAGACATTACAGAAGCAACCCTAGGAGGAGGAATTTGACAACAAAGGAATAATGCAAAGGAATAAGTAACTTGGGTGCAGCACCACATCCTTGCAATTCACGGGTTAATTAAACAACATTAGGGTGCCATGACATATGAACATGGTCTTTAGTGCTCTTGAAAGGCTTACAATAATCATAGCTCTGCCTTCTCCTCATATTTCGAAGCATATGGCAGAGATGTGTTGAGATGATGTCAATACTTAATGTTAAGATTCTCCACTTACTACATGTAAGTAATTCCTTGATGGAAGAATTATATAGCAAGTGATGGTACTGACATCTAGTGACAAAGTAGAACATTGCAGTTACAAGTCAAAGTTTTGCCAGAAGCTTGGAAGGAATCAAGATGGGATTCCTGAGACCAAGGTTATGTAATTCATTCATAAATACTTTTGAGTAAGGCTAAGTAGACAGGCAGCCAACTACACAGAGTGATGGCTGAATGTTAAGGGAGATAAATCATAAGTAAAAAAATAAGATCTTCAAAAACTAATTTCCAAAGTGAAACAATAAAATGGCAGCAGGAGGAGTAAGACAGGGAAAGTGCCGCACACTGCAGCAAGTGAAAGCAACTGATGAAACTAAGCTGCACCTTCTGGGTATATTGGGTGGGGTGTCACAAGGGGCCAGGCTCATGGTAAGTGTTAAAAGCCCTGTCATCTTGAGTGCACACAAGATGGCACTACTAAAATATCATTTCAAGAGGATTTGCCCTACTTTTTAAAATTTAGATGAAATATGTAGAATGTATGAGAAATAATCGCATGTGCTCTTATATAGTACCTCTGTTAAAGCCACACACAAAACACTTTTGCGACCGTTAAAGAGAAGTCACTGAAGATGCCAACTAATTATGCTGCAACTTGGGGAAAATTCCAAGGCAATGTGTGGAAGTCAGTAGGAAAGATACTGAGAAGATGATCATAGAAATATGTGGTGTACCCATATCTGGAATTTTGTGTGCAAGTTTGTCACATGAAGCACATTACAAAACCAGGAAGGGTACGTATGGAACCCCAGGGTAATCCTGTGCAAGATAAATTGGTCAGAGCTTCTAGAAGGGTGGTGGCATTAATTGGACAATGCCAACCAATTTATTATGGCTTGAACTGTCCTAGACAGTCTATCACCATCAAATGCATGAAATGAACATGCACTTTGATGGAGACTACTGCTTAAGAAAAGCTGAAACAGATAACTCTTCAGGCTTTTTATTTATCTGAGAGGTCCATGAATGACCTGCTGTATGAATAGAGAAAAATTCACTTTAGATAGCTGGTGACCATCCAGTGAAACAAACCACCTGGCAACAAATATAATTCAGTAAGGAAACACGCCATGCAATATGTAACTTATGGAGTTTATTGCCACGGGATGTTGTCTCTTCACCAGTTCCATAATTTCTTAACATGAAATTAATTAGTTAAGGTTAAGTACTAGTTAAAATTGCTGGAAATAGAACCTAAATGGTATATACTGCCAATTACCAGATATACTTCCCCAGGGCAGTGACCAACCAAATGCAGTAAACAAGAGTGATGGACTTTGGAACTGATGCTGCAGGGTAAATGTTATACTGTTATGGTATCTTCATTACTTATATATGAGACATATCTTTTCACTCTGGCTTTTCCAGAGTGATCCCTCCCCGCATTTCACTTTCCTTCCTAGTGTGCCTCACTTTGCAGTACGCCTTTTTTAAATCAGGTTATAAGCCTACATGAAATGCCTGGTTATTTTAATCCTATGCTCACTTGCTTGAAAGTAAGCTTCACCAAATACAAAAGGCCTTACTTCTAAATGAACATGCATGGGATTACACTGTAAATTTCATTAATTCAGCAAGTAGTTTTAGGTGCTTTAAATTAAATTACAGAAGTGAGGCTGCAATCCCATGTATGTT